CAGTTTTACTTAACACGAATCAGATTCATAAAGCTGTCTTAATTTTATAGTCGGCGTACAATATCAAGTATTTTTTCGTCCTAGAAATTGATGCCGTGTAAGATCTGAGGTTTTCACAGCGGTGAGTACGAAGATTTCTGTCTTCAGGGTTGTTGCGATGTTAGTCTGGTCGATGTTTACTAACGTTTCAGAGGTCATACTAAGAATCGCCCTGATGACGGAGGTAGTATGACCTTGAAATGTTGGTTAACATCGACCAGACTACACAGCGCAACAACCCTGAAGACAGAAATCTTCAAATTGATGCTGGACCGCTGAAGGGGATAAGAAAGCAACTCTCAGTTTCGACACAAATACTGTCCGTTGCAATCAGGTAAGATACTCATTTCATCAATGATGCGGATTTGTCTTCTGGAGGTTCGTGGCCGAGGATCGACTCTCTTGCTTCTCTGTAACTCAGGGGCGAGTACTGGGAAAATTACTTGAAATACGTACGTTTCTAGACTTATTTGTAATATCCTACTTGACAGAGTCTTTGCATATAAACGACGAAACTGAATACGGAATCTAAATGTGCATCAATGGTTCGCGATTCGCAGTTCACTTGTTCCAACACGATCACCCTCGCATCCTAATTCCCCCCTCTCCTCCCACCTTTCTCTTCAACAGTCCTCATTTACGTTAGGGGTAAAACTAGACCCTATCTTGCTCCAGGACTTTTGGTGGCAGATCCCAAGTGTATAGAAAAGAACAGATCAGATTTCTTAAGAAGGAGAACACTGAATGCCTGTTGCAGGGTCGAACAGGGGGAAGAAACTTGCAGAGATCTGCTTTAGTTGAGACGCACGCGGGTCTCTGGGTCTCTCCTGTAATGGAAGGCAGGCAGCTCTCCTTAACAAAACCGTTTGCTACCGGCATGTGGTTTTTGAATGCGAGCTTCGGCAACCTCGCAAAATTATTCCCCCCTCTTCTCTTTATAGCCGTATATTGAACAACCTCGATCCCTATGTGCGTACGAAATTACGTGCATCAAAGTACTTGGCCTTCAGCTCTGAACCGTACTCCACATTCTGAAAGAATTCTCTGCATCCAAACCCATTATCGGTGTTTACGGCCCATCCGAAGTATGCAGTATTTCATAGTAATAGCGTAGAAATCTGTCTTCATGATGAAGACATGCAATGTAAAACTAGAACGTTGTTAAGATTCAAGCAACACAACACATTTATTAAATAAATGGAGTTTAAATACGTCTGGATGTTTACAATTTTAAGAAGCCGTAATCTTCTAGGCCTATTTCCTGCACTTCCTCTTACTAGACAAATTATTGCGTTTAAAATGAAGTGTCGACTTTAGATCACTAAACGTACTTACGTTTAATAGTAACATACAATTATTTTAGGGTCTGAATATACTTAACAGGTTTTCTCAAGTCTTTTGAAGGAAAAAGTTATTTTATTTTATTTTATTTTATTACTTCAACGAAGGCGATCTTATAAATATACCCATGTTAAGATACAACTTCGTCAATTTTGAAGAAATTATCGTATTTTAAAACTTTTGCCATTATCGACCACCACATAAAGTGACACGTTTGTAACCAAAACACAGATGTGTCAGACATTCTGTGTGGTACGTAATAATTTTAGTTCCTTTTATAAGCGAGGAGGAATCAAGACACCAGAAGTAAAAAATAAAATTGGCATTAAAACGCGCGTGCTGATTTGTCAATTCGATATACTGTTTCTAGAACATGAACCCCCTTGGTCGGTAGGCTTCCTGGATGATTTATGTCCCTGTCTGCTGTAGCTGGAGACACAATGGAACAGCCATTCAACCAACATTTCGGCTGCTAGCACAGTTTATTTAATTCATCACTCAAGACGAAAGTAAATATCAACAAGGTTTTTGACGTCAATAAGGGGTAAAAATGCTACGTAGGCCTTTTCGTTCATTTCATCACATCCACAGAAGAGAGACACGGAAAATAAAAGCGAAACAAAAACGTATTACGAAAATTCGAAATGATAGTTTGTCACAAGTAACAAGTGGTCAGAAAACTAAGTTCTTCAAAAACTTTCTACTGCAGAAATTCAATAAAATTAGACCGATTCACGACAGAATTAAGTTCTGATGGAAGTTGGTTAGAAGAATTCTACAACCTAAATGTTCTCGTCTGCAACCTAATGATTACGTCAGCTGCTTAAAAGATGAAAAATATAAATTTTCTTTATACGCACTAATTCATGAAAACTGTCTCTCACAATACTCGAATATGATTTATTACTCAACTCAGTATAATTATTTTACCTGTCTTATTATAATCAAAATGGAAGCGTTTCATGAATACGATGTAACACGTACGCTGAATCTCAGAACCAAATAGGATTAACCTACATTTATATTATGCATGCCAACTACAGATCACTTAACTAAGTAACTAAAGGACTAATTCACTAACTCCACGAAGCAGAGTACTTGAGAAGCCAATAGTCTTAGTCTTTCGACACAATAACGCAAAGTTAGACGCTTCCTATACCGAACGATAGGTTTCATGATTGTCCGGTATAGTCGGCGCAGTAGTTTTTGGCCGGTGGAGAAGCTAGGGGAGCTGGCGGGCGGGCCTCCTCTGTGTACCTGAGGTGGCACGGTCAGAGTATTTCTTTTGTTTGGGCGTTCGGTCCGATAAGCTCCTCGCTGCAGTCAGCATTATACGATCGCAAAAGAGACTCGCTCCTAGCCTTCCCCTTGAAAATTCCACCGGCCAAAAACTACTGGGCCGACTATAGCTCCCATATTACTCCATGTGTTTTTCTGTCAACGCGACAACAAATATTTCTTGGGGCTCTGATAAAGTTCTGCTTGCGCTAGTTAGTTAATTTTGCAAACGAATCATATAACGAATAAGGTCAAAATCCGAAATCGATCGCACCTGTCGTTTTTCATGTGTCGAGTCTAGTAATCACGTCGTCTCGTGGCAGATGTTGATTTGTATGGATATCGCACCGTACTTTTACGTGTGATGTGAATAATATTTGGTGAGCTTTAGTCATAAAAAACGTGTCAACGGAACTAAAATTTCGTTTCCTGTATTCTCGTCTATTAATAATTAGAGTTCCAATTTGTTTTCCTTCAAATTTCCGACTCTCATCGTATTTCTTCAACCTTCATAAACGAACACTCAACAATCCGCATTTATTAAATATCCAAGATAATAACAACCATTCGTCTTCGACTTTCCACAGAAATGTGGGTTATATTAAGTAAACATGTTACGATCACTAGAAGTTAGGTTAGGTTCAGTGTTGTTAAGTAATAATCTGTTACTCGGAAATAACGTCAAAATTACTTCCATCCCTACTTAAGGTCGTTCATTACCGGAGAGGGGTAAGGAACGTAACGAACATTCATTGTTTACAATTTGTTGTTCGTGTTTCGTAATAATGTCTGATTCTTAATCTCGATACAGGTTTTCTGTAATACGCACAAAACTATTTTTTTAACGAAAACATTTTGGACGGGTCTATCGATGGATGCAAAGGCTATTGGATATTACTGATATTCCCCGTGGAAGGAAGTTTGTAGTTGTAATGAGCTTTACTCCACACACGAGAAACACAAAGAACCAATCGTAAGAAGTGATCGAAAGTTTGGTTTGTCGTACTGTAAATAAGACACCGCGAACCTTCATTGTTCAGAACACTAATCTTCGCAAAAAAATAACATAAATCAGATTAATGTTCTTTAGCGAAGTACAGATATGAATTTGTCACGCGACACAAAGTTATCCGCTATTATGTACGAAAGTAAAATAACATATATTTCATTTATCAGATAATAATTTCGTTGAACGTGACAAAACGAAACTAACTCGACTTGTCTAAATTTCAAATAAAAACAAATGACAGCAGTAACGTCAAGGTGCGTTTCGTTAGAATACACCAATAATAGTGGCTTCAACTTACAAACGCCCTGGCACTATCCATGCGTATCAATTCAGTGTTTAGCCTCCGTCCACATCCCACGTGACCCTGTCAAACTAACCGATGACGTCAAGTTGAGGCTCGACCGTCGAGTGCAGACACATGGCTACACACAAATGCCGACATATGAAACTGTCCCACTGCTTATTTGCCATGTACAAGGGAAGTTTAGATGATTTTTAGAAGACCTTATACAACTTCAAACACACCAAGTTTTTCGCATCGCGTATCGCCCAACTTCGTAACATTTGAAACGCGAACTACCGTGTTTATTATTTCTTAAGGATAAACCACGGTGATCTGGTGCAAGGCTGAAGAAGGGTGAGAAACTGGCAAACACAACAGAAATAAAGGACAGGAAAGGGATTCAAACCCAACAACTTGGAACACAAGACTATTTACCGGCGTTGTGGAAGTCTGTACGTGACTTTACAGACGAGGCGAATAGGCTACAGTTGAATTCCTTGTTTTTCTCGCTGATTATGTTTTAATTATGGATGTGATCTCTAAAACGAAGCATACCCAAAATATAAAATATAATAACGAGATCTGTCTAATTTAATTCAACGTATAAGATCTTCACTCACTGTTATTCATGAAAGTAGCCAAAAATCTCGCCCAAAATACCACAGACGCACTACGTCTTTCCAACCGACCATCAAAACTCAACAGCTTAACAGCGGTATCCTCTCGACAAACAATTAAGCTGTCCCCAAATTACCATCCACTGACTGAAGTCTCGCAATTCCCGAGTTGTCCAAGAGTAAAACCACGAGGCATAGGCCACACATCAGTAGACGACTAAATAAATACGTAACAACCGAAGTGAGATATCAGTTTCTTACGGCTTTCGGGACGCTGCGCCCTGCAGTTTCATAGATACTGACGGTGATGGCGGAAAACATCGGCCAGTTTCTTACCAGACTACGCAACAGACAGTCATTTATCTACGATACATAATAAGATATTCTTTTCCGTGTCATGTAGTTGATACAAGAGCGGGCTGCTGGCACTCACTTGTTTGGAGAAGACTGCGATGTCCTCGTTGAAGGACTCCGAGGAGCAGACATCCCCTCCCGCAACTCCTGGCTCCCGGGGAGTGCAAGTCGCCAGCTCGCACTTCTCGAAGATTAAGGCCAGCAACGGGAACAAAGGATGGCTGCGTCAACACGTACAAACATCGGTCATTAGATTCAGAGAATTAGAAACGCCTATTCGAATTCTTCATGCAGAAAACTGAATGAAAGGCTCTTTACGTGTTCATTTAAAACAGCCAATTCATTGACTTTCACAAGTTTATTAATTATATCACATGGACCTTATTTTAAACATCATATGAATCACATATAAATTCTCACAGAACAAATAAACACACAGGGTTTTTTTTGTATCCACATTTAAACATAAAATATAGCGAAAAACGTATAATATTACAATTAAATATTTCTATTTATTTCCAGCAAACGTGTATTTCTTCCCAAACTTAAAGTTTGGTTATGCATGCCAGCGCCATTTTGCTTTCTATAAATACGTGCTTTAAAACTATACAATTTTATTGGTCAAAAATGTAATTTTCTTTATAGCGGCGCGGGAGGGGGGGGGGCAGGAACAGGAAATGTAAAATGAAAAGCTCCTTATCAAAGGGAACAGCACGATACTTTCATCACTTATTTCCCTGCCCAGAATTTGCTTACGTAGAACCAAGTTTAGTTTCATAATCAGACGCACAGAATCCGTTCGCTACGCCACCATTCCTCAGACGGCGATCAGACGGAACTAGCGAGGGTAATCTATTTTGCTTTTTACAAGAGCATGTACGCTGAAAATTGGCGAACTAGGAGTAAATTTTGTCGAATATCGACCTATCTTCACAGGCGCCATCATTGACCTTGTAGGCCTAATAATGACCTCGTACTTTGACAATATTACGAAGATTTATAACAGTGACTTAACACGGATGTAACATTTTGGTGCAGCTGAAAATAACATTTCTCAAGTCGATGTGTGTATTTTTGCTTTCACATTTCGACAACTTTTACAAATTAAGATAACGTGAACAGTACTAACATAACAGAATCGGAGAAATACGAAGCTTTATACACAAACTGACGGACATTTTTGCATCAGTTCATTAAAAAAATTCTATTATTCCATTACTGCGAGAATAATCAAATCAAATGCAATGAAATCGCCGTAAAACGTTAAGTAATCACCTGCAATTTGCCCACAGAGTCTATGAATTTTGTATGATTATCAGAGTAAACAGCGATTACTTCTTTAAACATCATTAACCAACTGATGTTGTAATCGAGAAATATTGTTTTCTTTCAGGTTGGGAATAAATGTTTAACTGTTACTTAGACGGGCTTGTAATCGGAAAATAAAAATGTCGCAGTTTCTATTTCAAGCTTTTACTAATTCGCCCAGTCTTTCCTTATCCGAAGGCCAAGCGGGCGTTGCCTGGGAACCTTCAATCAACATAAATACATTTTCAGACTTCTCCCCCATAATTTCTCTCTGTTCCTATTCTTCTACTGTCCTTCCTAAATCTCTCTCTTCTGTTTCCAATGTCCAAGGATGCCGATTAAACTGATAAGAATTTGGCTGACGTACGACGAATTACAATCCACTAGTGTGAACCGTTCACCGAATTAAAGCTTGTAGGTCTACGGCAGTAACGAAACAATCACCGAATACAATAAAAATCATGTTCAAATCTGCAAAACATCGCCAATTACAACACGCACGCACAGTGTGTGCGTGCACCGTAAATGGATGTTCGGTAAAACATCAAAATGAGAGCGTCGGGATTCCTTATCTGTGTTATACCAGCTTATTAGTAGGCGTTTGTAATACGCGCTGCATTTCCACATTTAACGACGTATTTAAAAGGAATGTTCTTCGCGAATGTACACGTTTCACTAAATCGTTAGAGCGGCGTAGGGCTTTATACCTCATCAGACACACAGCGTCATTATACATTTGACTGCACATTTAGATATCAGTGATATTACGGATGTATATAACTAAAATTAACATTCTATCAGGTTCTGAATGTGATTTCTTTTGCTGAACACGTGTTTCGACAAAAACACGAAACAAAATGGATTCGGTCGGGTTTGCTGAATTTCTCTACTGGGTCTCAGTCCCTAAGAAAAAAAACACTTGGCTAAAGAACATTACCGCAACAGGCCCACTTTCGAAAGGATATTAAAAATCCAAATATTTTTCAGAGAAATCGTCCAAGTGGCCTCCTCTTGATATATTACGGAATTATTTTCTGCCATCTGATTGGGGCCCGCCCCGGCAAAAATCACTCCACCGCAGAACAATTTAACACAAATTTTAATACACAGGTCAGCTGCAAAAATATTAGGCCTACAGATTGGTTCCTGCAGCTAGGATATAAATTTAAAAAAAAAGTCAAAACATTACGCACTAAGACTTTGTATTTTTTAAAGTTACCGGTATTTTTACGAAAACAAAGTGTGGAGTTTCTTTTCAGACAGCCAGCGAGCGCTTGCATTTAAAAGTGGTCTAATGGAGTATAAACCTGCTACAATCGAATATAAATTTGAAAAAAAAGTTTAAAAAGTAGGAAGGAAAGATTTTTGTGCCGCGCAATAAGCTTCAATATCTTACGCGCTATTAAAATTATGCATCGTGCGACATCGTTTGTGTTAAACGCATAAAACATATTAATTTGAAAGTGTGCAGCGTTATGATTAGATCAAAAACAGGCATATATTAATTCTAAGACGTCAACCCGACAAAACATTCCAAAGACTTCGAATAATCCGTTTCGTAAATCGGTTACTTCGTAATTTCAGATTTTTCTGATACATTCCTGTTTGCTTGTTTCGTTCGATCCTGAATCTAGCTGTAACATCCCTCGGCTGACATCCATTCACAGATTATTATTTATAGGGTATTTAACGACGCTATTTCAGTAGCTCGGACTATATAGCGTCGAATGAGAGGATGCCAGTGAATTATGAATTAGTAAATATGTGGGAAGAAGCCTAATTCAAGGAGGGAGTGAGGAAAATCACGATAAAACCCCAGGGCGAGATTTGAACCCGGCGACTCCCGAATACGAAGGAGTGCTAACCACTAGATCACGACATTCGGTTAAATGGTACTAGCTGCAGCAGACAGGCAAATGTCAAATGGCTCACTACGAAATACGAGTTACGCACACGTAACTTTTAAACATGTCTTAAATACTGTAATTACAGCCGGATGATGAAGTGAGGGGGGGAAGTACAAATCCCCGCACGCCGCCACACAACGTCATCACTCGAGTATCGCATTACAGTGCAGGCAACACTCTGGCTTTATTACAATTATTTCAATTCAAAAAGAATGTACTGCGGTTAAAATTAGTCTGTTAGTCTCGGGCAATTGTACCTATAGCTCTAACGAGGGTACAGAGGATAATTTCCTTCAAATAAAACTTGTTTTGTACTTTAAACAAAATAATCTTTATTAAATTTTTGTGTTTAATGTTTGATAAGCGCACATAAAAAGTGCATTTTCGATTTATAGGAACGTCCTACTGGTTTCGTAATAAGGAACACGCACTTTACGTCTACAACTATTCGAAAAGTAGCAAAGAGTTCATAAGTCGATGGCCGTCTTCTGAGATGTTGCGCCGAGAAATTTACTGACGTTTCTGAGGTATTTTCGTCCCCATCACAAGGGGGGAAAAGCACCCATAAAACGTCGGTAAACTTCTAGCAGAATACACGGCGCAACAACCCATAAGACAGCCATCTTAATTCTCCCGAAATCTTACTTCGTGTGTCCTACAGTTCGTAGTCCACAAGCTAAAATCTGTCCCTGCCTCATTAATTACCAACCTTTATCTTTAATAAACATGTTACATTTCCAAAGCAGTGACAGAGAGCTTTATTTTCGAAAGCATAACAACGTTTCACACTAAGAAATTACGTATTTAATTGTCTGAACTAACAATATTTCTACACCGTCCGATTCCTAAAGTTCTTTGACCTCATAATTAAACCACACAACCGGCATTTTCATTTAATTCCTTAAATTCTTGCATTATAAACAACTAAAATCATAGTAGCATGTCGTCCATAACCTCACTTCTACTTACAGACATTACGCACAGCCACTGCTCCGATAATACATTTAAAAATATGGACGCGTAGGTAAGTCAATACGTTCATGTGCAAGTCTAGTTAAGATATATTACTTTCAATATCGTACACAATCCAGAGCACAACTAATCAATTACACTTTTGACAAATAATAGCAGCACACGGCGAACAGTGTCCTTTGACCCACAAACTGTCCGACGACACACACGGAGTCATAAATACACATCCACGTCGTTCCGATACATTCAAGTTGACAGTAATGATGGTCACTCAAGACATTGACAAAACACTGTGCCCCCTTTGACATGAGCTGCGAGTGTCTTCGGGTTAAGTTTCGTTCAGGCACATACAAATTCGTAACAATATTTACCTTCAGTTGCGTGTGTAAACATTTTGCCGCGTGCATTATATCGCCCTACGCCTATTTTCAATGTTCCATCTTCAGCAATGAAATATACGAAATTTTACGGCGTATTATTGTTATTTTAAAAAACTTTTATGTCCTAAAATGTAGCATGGACCATCATTGGAAATTTGTCGAGGCACAACTACTTCAGGGACTTTTCTAGCCGCATTAATTACACGAAAAATAAACATTTAATTTATTACATTCGAAAAAAATGAACACGTTCATTATTTTAAAATTCCAACCCTCGCTAGATTTCGAAAGTGAGTCAAACATTTTATTGTTATGGACGAAAGAACTGAATTTTTATAATTAAAATTATTAGTAGTAGTATTGTCGTAAATAATTTAAATATGGGTGTGCGGCCTAGAAGAAAGAGTCAAAAATGAGATAAATAATTAAAATAAAACGACCCTAATACACTCGCCCAAACACACAAATGAAATGACTTGTTTATTAAATTATATTATTCAAATTAACATATCTGTAATGTTATTATTATATTACACAAATCTACAGCGATCAATTAATATCTTTTAATCAAGTTTAGCCGTCAGAATGACCGTGGTTCGTACTGCATTAATCATCGACAACATGCTTTATAGCCATTAGTGTGACTATCGGCCTGTGGTTCGTCAATTAGTTCTTTGTACCAACATTAATTCCTGTCCTATCTAATCCATAACACGGAGGAAATAATAACACGAATATTATTAAATGACGCCCAACGTCTGCCTAAGTAAGATGACGCAATTCAAATTCTGATATGCCTCTCGTGTCTTCCTCCTCGAACTGACGTGGTTTTAGGGTGCTGCTGTTTCAGCCTCGAATGAAATCGAAGTGGAAGTTAGTCCTGGCATGTACAGGTTCCCATCCTGAGGAAAACTAGGGAAAATATTACTGAGACAGTAGTAATATTGGAGATAAGAGTGAAAATGAGATTAAGACAGAAGACGAAGCCAAAATGCCATCGATAGAAAGAAATTTTTCCTGACCCTTTACAATCTGATACGGTGACATCAAAGACCGTTTCGTAATTTGGCATTCTATACGCCAACGACTAATTAAATTTAGAATGATATTTGAATATAAGAAATATAAAATACGATGTTATTTAAAGTCTGTGTTCAAAAATCTTCTTTGTAATCCCACTTTGGGTGCAATGAATATGTTTCGACGAATCCTATGCTTCAAAGGCTACCACGTAAGTCTTTCCAGTCCTATTCGGAATATTAATACAATGGCACAAGAACATTTTCAAAAACACAAAATTCTTTTTCCATAGTTTCTCTTATTAAATTATATTAATCATATTTCTTTTTCTTTTTTTTAAAGTACAACGGGAAATTCAACGTTTTCACGGAAACGGTTCCAACTAAAACAGACTTAAACTTTAAAAGCAAACATTTTTTATTCCAAATGTTTCTGCACCTTTCAAAAAAAGGGTAAAAAAATGTTAAGCCTATAAAGAATAGAACCGGTGGCTCAGTTATCTGCCTATCTTAATATATTCCACGTAGGTTCACAACAAAGCAGTCAATCATTTTAAATATGTTTTTGCATTTACGGCCTACAGTGACAAAACATTATTCAAACACGACATAAGAAAAAGTTAACAATTACGCAATCAACTGCGTTATTAAAAACTGTGCGGGAACTAAAATGAACCTTCAGGCCAAGCCCTGAGTAATAATTTCCAAGTGGGTCTACATTTGCCTTGAATTTAGTATCAGTAATCCGAATATCAGCGAATCTACGAAACGATAAATTAATTTTCAACAGACTAATTGCGATAATTTATCGAGCTACTAAAAATTCCGAAATTACCTCCGAATATGACATCGTCACACGATTATTTCGTGACGAGAAACTCGGAAAAAAGAACAGAGCATGACAACAAATATGTTATTTAATGCACCAGCCAGGTGCTGACAGATGCTATTTCTTTCCCCTTTTGATATTTCTTTTTCGGCGACATGCATGATTCGCTTGGAAAATAGCTTCAGTGTAAGCCAGCCGTCTAGCGCCGAGCGCTGAGCGTTCAGTCCCCGAACTACACGCCTAGAAGTAAAAGATTACGCCGTCTACGGAAACAAATAACGATCAAAAAGAAGGTTTCATATCTGAAAGTCAGTCCTGTTCGATCCCATACAAACGACTAAGACGCAATTGGGAGTAATTATTCCATAGACTAGTTCTTGCGTCTGCCGCCGAAGTGTCCTAGAAAATGTCTACCAAGAAGGGAAAGATACGCGAGAACAATCACGGATTTATAACCTATCATTCGGATGCTGTAGTAAAGTACAGCATTACTCCGGGAAATTGTATATAAAACTACGGTGTGTGTTATGGCCCTTAAAATTAACTAGTCGAAGCCTGAGTTAGGAAACAATTCATCATAAGAATCTTTCTTTAACACAGCCCATCCAGGTTCATATCATATACCGAAAACTATTTGACGTTCTACAACTTCGTAATACGTCTTGCAGGTCAGTATTCATTTTTAGAACAATTACTTATGTCCTCATTCTGTATAAAGTTTTACGACCGGAATTTACATCTCAATAAATCAACGCGCATTATTTTCAACATTTAATACGTTTCATTTGGCCCAAAATATTATTCATATAATTATCGATCTTCAACAAATCGCCCTGCTTGTCTTCAATTGCCGGCGATTATACACAACAACGACATTATTTATTCATTCCAGGAAGCAGTCCGTTTCAGCCCTATTATTTGAAAATATATTGCTGGGCGATTAATTTAACAACAGGCCTATTCCACGCTATATCGATTCACATTTTGAACGTTTCGAACTCAGTAATCGATACGCCGAAGCAGCACTAATCGAATTCACAGTGCCATGAAATGACAAATGAGCGTAAAGAACTGTATTTTGTTACAAATGATACAGTTGCTCGCAAAACCTGGCTAAACTGGACACTACATTAACAAACACGAAAACATTATTCTATGTTGTACCTTAACCGAGGCCTTATCACGTAGGCCTAATGGATCTGTGTAAATGGCCTATAAATGGTCACCGGAAACGGAAACGACTTCATACAAACTACTTGATTTCCGATAAAGAGATTTCTCACTAGACCAAAAGTCGATTCTTGGTTCTATTTCGTAAACATGGAAACTCGTATGTGCAATCAGCATGTTAACACCACGAAAGTGTAATGTTCGCTCGTTGCTACCGCTTATTGATCGGGGGACGGGAACCGCTGCGTTGGCGGCCAAGGATTGGGACATTGCCGGCAGCCTGCCTAGGTCCGCTGCGGGCAAAAAACACCAGCAGAACGGCGAGGTACTCACCCGTAGATCGCATCCTTGTCCCGCTTGTGGACGTCTGTCACGGGGCCCATGACATGATTGGATACGGGGGCAACGTGATTGCCGGCGTGGTACTGATGCATGCCATGGTTCATATGTGGCGAGTGGTGAGCGATGTTCTGGAGTGGCCGATGGGCCACATGAGGGTCGTACATGGAGGGTGGGGCGTCGCCCATGTAGGAAGTGTGAATGCCATCATCATACTGCACAGATCGGGAAATAAGCACGCCGTTACTAACATACATTGCACAGAGATTTACAAATAAAATTTACAAAAATAATTTCATTTGTTGGCTTGTTTCCTCGGGTAGTTACGAATTTAATGAAAATATAATTATTCATGTTTTCTCTGATCAGCTCTAAGAATGCCTCATTATTTTTAGTTCTGTAAATGATATATCTTATTGACAAATAGGCTATCAGGAATAATTTTTGAATTGCTTTGATTAATTATTATTTAGAATACATCTATAAGAAAATAAATTATCTGATAAAAATAATTAAAGTTTACTAATTTATACGCAGTAGGGCCTGTGTTTCAAGTCAGTGGACCGTTCTGGTTGAGAAATTGAATGGGCCTTCACATTCTGAACGAAACACGATCAAAAGCATCGCATATACTGAAGTGCATTATTCAGGCGTGTTAAACTTAAAAGAAACCAATAGAATTAAACCTTTTTTGTAAAAGAATCGTAATCAATTTGACAGAAATATCTATGGAAAGTTTAAGTAACTTATTTCTCTTCGGTTTCAAATTTAAGTAGTGTTTCATTCTCCTTAATCCCAGTTAAGTTTTTATTTATTTGCTGATGGATACAGGATCAATCCATCGATATCTGAGTTCCTCCTTATAAGAACGTAAAATTCCATCATTTATAAAAAAATGATATCTACTTCAAATACGAAAATTGTTATTTAAAACTTTAATTTAAATAATATCTGCATTTCATTGCCCATGCGTTTGTACGTATGATGTACGAGTAGGTCCGCTGGCCTATCACAAGCAGTGGAAGCCCCTTTGCTCTTGCAACATGGCCGCGACATTCATTACGGGCTGATTGATGGTGACATTTGAAAAACACTACGCGCCATATAAACACTGTTAGGACATGGCCTTGCACATGGCACATGGGAGGGGACATGTGTGGTGTCTGTGCTCAAGGAAATGACAGTCTAAGGGTAAAATTGGGTCGTGTTTCGTTCCGGGAACTCACCCGTGGTTGAGCCATGAATGCCCTGGCTACAGCACCGGCGTAATCCGCGTGCTGGGCCACTTTGACACACGACTCAGCTCTTGCACCCACCCGCACAACACGCAGGCACACAACACTTGAACACTACTTCAGTGCAGACTACCGTCACCGGATGGAGAAACACTGTGCATTCGAGTGACGGAATTTTTATCTTGAAGTGATAAAAATGTGTATCACTTGCATGACATCACCACACACGGCAAGCACATGATTCGCATATCACAGACTCACAACGGATTGCTTTGTATTCCCGGAAATGTTTCTTCTGTTCCTCCCGCTGATGGATGATAACTCCAAATTCCGCGCGCGACGAGGAGGAAAGTCTTGCCCGGTCGACAGAGCAGTAATTTGCTGCCGCCTCTGCGTGTGACAATACGACGACGATGAAGGAGATCCCACGCACTTAAAGCGAAATAGCAAGGAGTCGAGGTCGCTGCTGCCAGTCAAACCATCTGTATATATGGATGGATGTGTCAAAGTGCCCCCTTCTGGCTTGGATGATGTTGTTTTCCGGTTCTTCTGCTACTGCGCCGAGGGAAGCCGGGGCAGACAGTCAAGTCAGCCACTCACACACACGGTCGCAGCCGCATAGATCCTGCGCGTACCGCAGTCGTCTGCCAACTGTCAATCACTACAGTCGAGGGGGAAGGGACCGAGAGCGGGGATCCTGCCGGTAGAAATGTACGGCTTGTCATGTGAGTCGCTCGGAGAGGGGCGGGTAAAAAGGTAGGCTGCGCCGCGCATCTTCAGATCTAGACCGCCAATGCGCAGCTTAGACCCAACCCCTTTACGAGTAAGCAGACAAGAGAGAGAAGAACTGGGCAACGCTGAGGCATAAGGGCGGGCCGAGAGAATCTCACGGTGACAGGGCTCGTCTACTCTGATCGCAGCGCCATTCAGTCACAGAGTGACGGATGGCAGGAACTAAAAACACAGGCTCTTCCAATTTCTCGCCGTCCCCCTTCCCCGCCAGGGCACGGAACCAAGGTCTCGCTACCTCTCTGTTTCCGTCTTATTCAGCCAGAATATTGAGCTCGACGGACGGTCAGATGCAACGATCCCAACGTTCTGACACCCTTGTGAAATGCAGCCTACAGTGTCAAATGCGTGAACCAACATAAATCAAGGAGAATGACGTTCATTGGATTATCATTTCTTGATATTTTTCCTGAAACTGCTTTAGGTCGCACAGCCCACAGAGAATATAGGCCCACTGAAAACGTTCTTTCGGGCATTTTTAGATGCTGCAACTTCACAGAAGCACCAGGTATTTTAAAGCTGATATTCTGCTTTAGGCTTCCCTTGTGTTTGCAATGTATAAAACGTTTCTCAGCGTTATTTTGTAGCTCTAGCAATTAGATATTACTCCCATAACGTAGGCTTCTCCTCTCTGTCCATTTTATGCATTTATACATGTAAACGCAGGCCTACACAGAATATGCGTGTGATTAAGGGGTATACTTAAATGTGAACAGACCTAAACAAATGTGTATTTTGCCACTGAAATAAAGGCCTAAATTAATGTATAAGCAGAAATTATCAAATTAATATAACTCTATGTATAAGAATACGAGTTGTGTGTTTCTGTCACGCCACACCACGCGCCTTATAGCGCGTTGCCGTCCGAAAGGCGGGACCAGCTCTCCACCTTCATGCACTGTAGGCCTACACCTTAATGCTAACACCTGACACCTCGCTGAATGCGGTCTTTTTTAATGCTGCATTATACAAACCCCTGAAGTATCAGTTATACGTCACGTCTAATTCATTTGAACTTCTAGTCTATTACGTACTTACATATGCAAGCCATCCAGCACTGAATAATGCAGACTGCAGTACATGTTAGGCTACTTTTATATCGTAAAGAATCATATTACAAGACTGCATAAATATTTAATCACAATTTCAGATCTGTTAAGACTACATGTAAGTAACTTGAATTTAATTCTGATTTTAAAAATGAATATGATTCTGTACATAGGCGCAAGAAATTCTGTAATACTTTCACGAAAGCAAAATAAATTTTAGCCGAAAATAATAAATTAAATAAGTCTAGTATATAGGTATACAGTCTTTCAAAATTTAATAGCAATTAATTACACGAAGGACTTGAGCGTTATGACTAACAAACTTTGAGAAATGGATTAATAGGCCCACTGCGATGTGAAATGTCCGCACCAACATCGGGGTCTGCGGAGTTCGCGTGCACTTCCGTCTCCTCATCACCAGGTACAGTACAGCGGCAAAAAGATACGTAGCCTATCTTTAATCTGACTCTGTTTGTGTGGCTTCTGTTCGCAGGTGCAAGATTTATTTCCTCTTCGGTCATGTCTGGAAATCGACGGCGCACGAAAGTGTACGGTTCCACGCCCTGACTTCTGTGGAATGTTAAAGACACAACATTTCATCGCCCTCATGGTGGATGCAGCAAGTACCTCTAAAACGTCTATGAGGTTCTACCAGACAATCCCAGAAGACGGTCACCTTCATTCAACAACTAATTTTTAATCGATTCATCCTCTGGCAGTGCTTAATTTTCATTCGCGTGAGAAAAATACGTATAGGCCCTACATATAATTGTGGGAATTCTCTTTAAAATAAATAAGTACTTGCATTTATACAAATAACTTAGCCTAAGTTATTTGGCCTATTTAGATTAATGTAGAGGCCTAGACATAACTCAGCCTGTGTGAAAATACAGGCCTAATCCCAGTGTTACAGCTTTCAACACAACTTTCATTGATCTACATTTCACACGATGTTATTTTGTTTGATTTGTACCATAATGAAACATTAATTTTATGACGGAGCGTCGGGAAATTTTATCTAGACCTCATATCGACAATTAGAAGAACTTAAAACAGTAATAAACTGGAACCAGAGGACGCAACAAGGCACGCGTGTCGAATTCTATCCGCACTCTAACCTACAATCAATACGATCCATTTACAGAATGTCTTTCTGTTGCGAGGTTTGGCGAAGGGCTAACAGCTCCTCATAGTGAAGAAAACTGGGCTTATGTCAAGAACTGTCGCATATGTGGATTTGGATAATATCACGTCGTTAATTACGCCAAGTAGCCTATTGACATTAGGCTAGAGCAAGCCCTCAGTGGGCCCATAAATTCGAGTTGGTGGTTTAAAGGATGGAGATCTCTCTAGGGCTACTAGTAAGCCTAAAAGTATTGCTTACATAGAAATACACTTTATCTTACATAGGCCTATAGAGACGTTAAATTCAACGTACGACATCTATAGGATTAAGAAATATTCATACAGCAGAACAGCGTGTAATATATTACTAGACTGAAAAATACAAAATGTAAACTTTGTAGCAAACTACAAATGCTTTTTGACTGGATTTCCGAAGTTGTAAATCACAAGCATTCGTCTGTAGCATTGTTTTGCTGATTCTTATAAAGTTTCCAGACTTGCAAAAAAATTTTGATTATATAACTACTTTTTATTTTATGAAGTTTCTATGTTAGGTATCCAATTGCAACTTACCTAGCAATACTTAACCTCAATTTTATCGCATCTCCCCCACCCCAAGAAAAGAAATGTGATTGCTCAGAAGTTTACAACATTGTGTTGCAATGTGTGTAGATGAGATGTGTAAACAGACATCCTAATTCACAAGCAGTTAGGCCTACTGATACACTTGAAGCATATCTGCTACTTGAGAAGGCAAAACAATAGGAAGATTACCAGAATGCTTGAAGACGACCACGAATTTACTCTTATCAGAGTATCAGATAGGAATCACGTCATTCCAACAAACATTAATTCATACATGACGCATAATGCGAGATATTGCGGTACCACCCGGCAGTTTCTTAGTCGAAACTGCTTTCACTGACCGCCTACAAGCTCTTGCATTTCGGACACCAAGATACGACAATTCTGTTGGCCTCTTCTTTCGACTCGATGGATTCTTTTCAAGGAGTAATATTCATGATTGGCTCCGTAGAGAAAAATCCTATTTTAAAATATAATAGTTGCAAAGATAATCAGAAAACTCCATGCCTTTTACGAAACTCGAAATTTTATCACCGTTTCCGCAACAGACAGCCAGTTTAATTCAGTTACTTTTTTCAAACCCAGGGCCCCATGTTTTGCCTCATGCCTTAAGATCCACTTTAATATGCTTATTGCCCATAGGGTGAAATTACCTTTAATATTTCCGATTAAAATTTTGTAGGGTGCATGTCTCATAGACCTATAGCCTATCCCATGCGTGCTATATACCATGCCCACTTCATTACCTTAATATTTTATCAAGAGGATGGAGTATAAAGTCATTAATTTTAAAGTTTCCAGCAGCCTCCTGTCAGCCTATTTCCTCTCCCTTAGGTCTAAATATTCGCTTCTATATCTTGTTTCAAACATCGTCTATCTGTGCTCACTTCGGGGCGTGAAGAACACTTTATGGGACCGTCCAAGTCTTTCTCTTTTCTCCTAGGAGATAGTCAACAGGGATCACTGTTCGAGCTAATAATTAGAACAGAAGTCACTACGGGAACATTATTGAGCGACGTCACCGGACCACGTCAGTGAAACAATGGAAACCGATTTGATTGTTGGAAAACAAGCGTTACCTCAGATCACATTAGTACAATGACATAACGACATTGTTGGAATACTTACAATTAGAATGATCAAGTCAATGAGGATTAGATGGGCAGGATATGTAGCAGGCATGGGAAAGAAGAGGAATGCATACAGGGTTTTGATCGACAAACCAGAAGGAAAGAGACCACTAGGAAGATCTAGACCTAGGTGAGACGATAATATTAAAATGTATTTTAGAGAAATAAGATGGTGTGGTATGGACTGGATTCATCTGGCTCAGGACAGGGACCACTGGTGGGCTCTTGTGAACAGGGTAAAGAACCTTTGGGTTTTATGAAATGTTGGAACTTCTCGAGTGGCTAATCGACTGCTGGCTTGTCAGGAAGGACCCGGTCCATGGTGTAAGCAAGTAAGTAAGTAATTAAGTAAGTAAGTAAGTAAGTAATTAAGTAAATAAGTAAGTAATTAAATAAGTAAGTAATTAAGTAATCAAGTAAGTAAATAATGAAGTAAACAAGCAAGTAAATAATTAAGTCAGTAAGTAAGTAATTAAGTAAGTAAATAAGTAATTAATTACGCAAGTAAGTAAGTAATGAAGTAAGTAAGCAAGTAACTAAGTAAGTAAGTAGTTAAATAAATAAGTAAGTAAGTAATTAAGTAAATAAGTGAGTAATTAAATAAGTAAGTAATTAAGTAAGTAATTAATTACGCAAGTAAGTAAGTAATAAGTAAGTAATAAAGTAAGTAAGCAAGTAATGAAGTAAGTAAGCAAATAATTAAGTATGTAAGTAGTTAAATAAATAAGTAAGTAAGTAATTAAGTAAATAAGTGAGTAATTAAATAAGTAAGTAATTAAGTAAGTAATTAATTACGCAAGTAAGTAAGTAATAAGTAAGTAATAAAGTAAGTAAGCAAGTAATGAAGTAAGTAAGCAAATAATTAAGTATGTAAGTAGTTAAATAAATAAGTAAGTAAGTAATTAAGTAAGTAATTAAGTAAATAAATAAGTAAGTAATTAAGTAAGCAAGTAAGTAAATAATGAAGTAAACAAGCAAGTAAATAATTAAGTCAGTAAGTAAGTAAGCAAGTAATTAAGTAAGTAAGTAGT